TATAATACACAGAATTTTACTTCAGTCGACTTAAAACAATCTAGTAAAAAAGGAACTATTTTAAGCCTTGAAAATTTACCAGAGTATGCTTGCTTTATTTTAAAAGTAAATTAAAAGTTAATTTGCTATTTTCAAATGTTCGCGAATAGCCACACAAAGGCTATCCTCACTAGCTATCCCTAATTTTGAATTAATAGATTAGAGGGAAAGCAGCTGGCTAACGAAAGAACAACCAACGCCAACTCTTTGATTACTTTAATCGATTACTGGGATTTGATCGTCACTCTCATGACACATCCACAGTCACAACGTGCGAAACGTGATTTTTAGACAACTTGACTCGAACCATGGATCTTCGGATTCACAGTACAGTGAAATAAAAAGTAACTGCCAAATGCATGTATTTTGTATTTATGGTAAATTTACTGGAGTTATCTGCCACCGTTCATAATTTTGAACAACTGAGCAGAGAGAAAGCAGCCAGTCAGCATTACCCCAATATCCACAATCTATGCTAAGGGATTGGCTGTCACGCTTATAACGCACCTGCATTTTAAATAAGTGCAGGGAATAATTTGTGGTACTGCACAGATTTAAAATTAAACTTTAGTTATGTGAAAATATATTAAGGTAAAACATGGTTGACGTATTCTTTTCGAACGCCAGATCCTCTCATTTAGTTTGTCTGGTGTTTTGACAGAGAAAACAAAAAAAACTCTATGTTTGTGAACAAGCGTTTTATAAGTCTACCATGCTGCGAAGTTACGACATTAAAGAAAAAACTAACGGCCGCTTTAGCTTGCGTGTAAAGTGACTATTTATTAATGCCCAGTCTCAAACCACGAAACATTAACAAGTATAGAAAGTGATTTCCTGGTATGTATGTGATTCGGATACATCATGTTATGAGAAGGAACGTGCTTTTCATAAAGCAGATTGAACTTCAAAAGTAACTAAAATCTTTAAACTTCAGACCCTAAACATCTGGTATGTATAGCAGGTGAAGGGTGAACATATTTTGGAACTCTCACCCCGAATCATTCTCGAAATTAAAAAACAACAACCTCAGTATTAAAAAATTAACTCATTGTTAAATTTAATCCATCCGTCGAGTTCTGTGATTATACATTTATATATCCAAAGGAAGTTCCTCACAACAAAGCACATTAACAAACACCTTGCAGCTACCACCAGTTGTGGACAGTGAGATTAATAATAAGCCACATGGAGAAAATTGAAGTCTGAGTAAGACTCGCTTCCCGAAGCTTCCATGATACCATATCAATCATTATTTTTTCTTCGTGTTTCTTGCTTTTAGCAGTACACGCGATTGAATGGAAATTACATGGATTCCTTTCCAGACATCTCGACTCGAGCGATTCTTGCAGTGTACGTTATTTTTTCTGTTTGACTTAAAGCTTACAGGATATTTATTCTGTTCTCTTCGAAAGAGTCTCTGGTCGCAGAATATCTACTTTTTATGAATGTTGGGCTGAAGCATTATTCTGATCACCCTGTAGTTTATTATTTCTGAGTTCCAAAATGCACTTTCCGGGACGAGACTAAACTATTGAAACGTCAAGTTGTCGACATTGGTCTGATAGTTTGTACTCTGTACTATAATGTGAGTTCTGAGCAATTGGTTCTTTAGCTGCACACTTCCTTCGTATATCTTATCTCAACCTGGCAAAACGAAAAATCTCTGAGAAAAACAACTCAGAATCTAACCTATAGTTTCTAATTTGGCACTCGCCTACGTGAATCATACAAATTAATGAATATTTTCATAAAAAGTTACATAAGTTGAGGTCCAAGTTATGTTCGTGCGATGCAATAAATGCACTGAATAGATTTTTGTCAGGATTAATATATTAACACTGATATATCTGCTTAGATGAAGATTCTAAAGACTTCTTTCGTTAGATCTTCCAAAAAATTTTAATCCTTAATACTTGTGAAGTAAGCGTGCCTGGATTGCAAATATGAGTATGTATGATTCGCGTCCCGTTACCAGATTTAGGGGGCCGTGGATGCACCATAAAAGTTACGGTTAAATCCTGTTATTCAGTCAAACAATATTAGCCCAGGAATGAGTGCTGTTGTCTTCCCTCTTGTCTATCAATTTCACATCAGAGCCAACTATATCCAGATAACCCTTATGTGGCTTTGAGCATAAATTTGAAACAAACTAACAAGGTTGTGAAATTCAGTGCATTCAGCCGTGTTTGAAAAGAAAGTCAGTATACCAGAAAAGACATTCATGTGAACATTAGTAATGGAAGTAAAATTATGTACTGAATATTATAAAAGCCTTTGAAGACATATATTACGGAATATTTTAAACACTTTGACTTTTTGAGAAACAACGTTCTGATGTATTAGGTAGTCAAGAAATTAATGTCGCTTTTTGTTTTTTAGATGAAAAAACCCGAACAACTTATATATATCAAAACAAAACATTTATCAACTGAAACAGTCTACATTTTTATCGATGATGCTTTTCCATCTTACAATCAGGCTGTTAATGCTCTGATTAAAGAAATCACTTGACTTTGAAGCAAAAAACATGTCGATCTCCTCTTTAACTCTTGCATACGTTTTCCCATTAAGATGGTGGGTGGAGGAGAACTTCCCAACCCAACTCCATAATCTTGTGTTGCGTCAAACGTGC